ACTCAGAAGTTATTGGCTGAAACGTCAGTTATTTTTTACTATTCTCTTGGATTCTGAGTGGAACCTAGATGGCGGAGGGGGGATGTTCGGCTTCAACAGCACATCTCCATTTCTTTCTATTCTCTGTAGTCTTTTTTAGATGACTCCACGTTTACCCATAGGTTGTCACCTCCGCCTTACACCATCTCTTCCTTTTCAATCTTGGATCAACTTTCAACTCGCCGTTTACCATTTGCGTTCCATTTGAGAGTTTGCCTGGTGCGTGATGTCGTACTAAAATCTCTTCAGCATGTGTCCAATCCATCTCCATTTTTGTCAGCATATTTGTTGGGTAATAAGTTCTTGATTGGTTCGTTCCCATGGTTTCCTGTTTCTGCCTCTTTCTGGTGGGCTATCTGATCTTCAGTATGCATCCAGATAAGGCAACCTGTCAGAAATCCCTTTGGTGACATGCCAAGTTTCTGAACTGTATAAAGGAATTGACTTAACATTTGTGTTGGAAGTCCGGATATCGCGCTTTATTTTAAATACAACAGATTTCTAAACTGATTCAATAGGATTTCTATGTTGTCATTTGGGATCTTATCCACTACCGTTTTTAGTTGTCTATAAAAAACTTCCTTCTCTTGTTGTGAGTTGTTGGCTGGCGCGTAGAATTGGGTAGTTGTGACTTTCCTTTAAGGTCAGTTGAGTTGAATCCCTCTATCATGAACCTAGAGTAGATTGGTTCCCACTTCATGAGCCGCTTCGATGCTATTGGTGACACCATGCTCGTGGTCGTTGTCTCTATGACTGGAATGAATTATTGACTATGCAGTTAATGATTTTAGGAAGTCCACTTTCCTTCCATCTGTTCGCACAAATTCCTAATACTTCTATAGCGTATCTTTTAACTTCTTTTGCGTTATCCGTTCTTGAATTTAAAAGTTCTCTTTGATTTGAGGTTTGATGAATACGATTATTCTCCTTGTGTTTTGAATTTTCGGTGGCGATGAGTTTGCCTTTTACTGCATGGGGTCACGAGTGTCACTCCTGACTTTCCCTCTTTTTCGGAGCTTCATATTGGCTGTTAAACTAGGCGACGTTGAGCTAATACTTTGCAATATGTGCTACACACACTCTTTGTGAACGCCTAATCTTTTACTGTATTGTAGAATTCCTATTTAAAATGATTTTATCTACGAATAGGTAAATAAGACTATTTCTTAAGTCAGTTAGATCACTAGGTTACCTAAATTTCCATCCAGTGTAGCACCTAAGCTCCTGGGGTGGTGCGTACTGCCGAAGAGTCCCAAACCAGGAGGAAACAACTGTCCAGTACTCCCGAGTTTTTAAATGGTTCTGCAACCGATACCAGCTCATCATGAAATCCTGTAACCAATCAATCAAATCTCTGCAAACTAATACTTGAAAATTCTCTTCATTTCTTACTGTTTTAATAGACTAATTATTTTTTTTATCGAGGAGCAAGAAGACAGTAATACTGTGGATCGATAGAAATACTCTATAAGGTCTAGACTTCGGGGACGATATATGTCGAATGTCACATAAACTCCGAGACTTGTAGGCAGAAATCAACAAGTTAGCAGCAGAAGCAGCGAGGACAGAAATTCAAGTGAACAACATAGAGAGGACAGAGGTGATGAAGATACCTAACCAACGACAACAACAAGCACCAATCACTATCAACCGAATAAATTTGAACAATGTCACTTCTTTCATTTATCTAGGCAGCATCGTTTCAACTACAGGCACACAACACGAATGAGGATGTCAAAGACAAGATTGGAAAGGCAAGAAAGACCTTCACCACTCTGAAATCAGTCTGGGAAGCTTCTGCACTCAACACAAAGAAGAAGACTGGGACTTTCAACACTCATGTCAAGACAATTCTTCTCTGTGGTTCAGAGATTTGGCGAGCCAAGGAAAACATCTCCAAGTTGCAGACTCTCATCATCATCTGCCTTCTCTGACTCGATACTGAAGATCAAATGGCCGAAAAGAATAGGCGACATGGAACTCAGGGGACAAACTAACCAAGAACCTATTGCCCAATAAATACGCCGAAGGAAATGAATCAGACATACGCTTGGGAGGTCGTTGAGTAGCATGGTGCAGTAGGTCATCGCTCGAGTGGAGCTGGAATTGAAAATGGTGAGTTGGTCATATGTTCGAGGGTGACATTATAGAGGTTGTGTAAGGAAGAGGTGAGAGCAAATGGGCAATTGTAAAGCCAGCTAGATAGGACTGCAGAGAATAGGACAAAATGATGATGTACTGCTGAAGACCTATGTTCCACATGGAACCCAGAGGAATAAATATAATACATGAAATTACATACTTTCTCATAATGCTAAGTAAATTCTCAGAAGAAATGATTGAAACATATCGCAGAGGATTAGATATAATTTCAGATGGAACAGGATGGTGTCACACAATACATCACCGAAAATTAATTTACTTGAAGACGCTATACGAAGAATTGGTATTTCGCAAATTAAATACGTCAGAAATTCTCTGCTATTTGTTAACACAGGCTGAAATAAAACCATTATTGCTACCACAGAAATATTTTTTGGGAGGGGGTTGATTTTTTTGGTATTTCTTTATAGGAAAACAACAACAGCATATTAACTCTAGTCTTAACATGTTTTCTTTAAGTCGATTCTTGTTTAGTTGGTTGTTCTTTTGTTTAGTTTATCTCCCTTGAGAGTTTGTTTGTTTTTTACTGGTTTTCTTAAATGACTTAACTCGTTCCAGTGAATCCAATTTCTTTAAGTATGTTGACGATCTGTTTGTTTCTATATCTGTTACTTCTAAATCAAGCTGTTCTAAGATGAATAGCTTTTTATTAGAATTTGTTCTGTAATCCTTATCGAATGGTCCCTCTAAATGTCAAATTGTTAATTTCCCTTTCAGACACAAGCGTGATATACGTGAACTGGTTCGTCCCCATGTTTATTGTTTCATAGATGATGATACTGAAGTTGGAACTAAGTCGAATGCTAAATATTTTGGATTATGTCTTTCCTCTAATCTTTTCTGGTCTCCTAAAATCATTTTAATTTCTAGGATGGTATTATGTCTAGCCTTCTGCTTAAAGGAGTTAAGACAGTATCGTATAACTCAGTTTCGACTTCTACAGTTTCTATTCTTTGTATTCTGCCTATTCTTCTTTATCCCCCTCCCAGCCTTTAATCACTCCTGGGTTACTTAAGGAAGTCTTTTTACACTACGAAGGAGACTAAAATTTGTCGGAAAGGCGATTGGTGTGTCGCTAAGTTAATTTGTTAGTCTTATTGTAGACAGACATTCGAACTCAGACATCATCTTATCGAACTGTGAGCACTATCGATGCACAACTTTCTCGTAACATATCATCATCAGGTAGGAATATAAGCAATATAAAGGACTTTATGCTCGTATGACTAGGTATACTAACTCGAAGATACCTTATTTGACATGCATTTTATAGGATGAGAAAAGTTTTAGGCATGAAATTAAAATTTTACTGCAAAACAGTATATAGACGGCCCATTTTATTCTTGCTGTCTCATTAGTATATCGTTGTCACTACTTTGATATCAAAATAGAACTTGTGCACTGTGGTAGAGTATAATTCCATTATGGGTAAGATTTATTTTAATAAAGTCTCACAGAGATGTTATACAGTAATATTTACTGATGACAATGTTTCGAGCACAATATATTGCCGTTCTTAATCAAATCAAGGTACTCATACAACTTTCTATCTTCGTTTATATAATTCCATTATTTTTCATCGCTTGACTTGATCGGTAGTAGTATTGTAACAACAGAAGACAAGGGCTAGGCAACAAATCGTTTATTAAGGAAATCAACACGTATTTATATATTTTCATGTACATTATTATAGATTATTTTTAGCAGAAAAACACAGTCTTCTGATTGGTGGTTGTTTCTCACAGAAAGTTAACCTTGCATCTCTTTGTGACTGTTTCTTGAATGTCAGGTCATCTATATGTTAACTGTATCCGCCTACGCAAAGCCTTTCTTCTCATTTTGCTTACGACCAATATTGGGGACATAAATATTGACGTAAATTACTGTCCACCAATTTTGACTAACAGCCAGCTCTCACTGCAGTATTTTCCATATTTCCAGTATGAGTGATGAGTCATTCCTGTTGCACGTGTTGGGTGTAGATTCGATGAACAAGGATTCAGTAATCAACTTCTCACCTTACCTATCTATATTACTTTTTAGAATTTTAACCTTCTCCTACCCTATTGTGTGGCTGTGTGTTAATGCATGCAGTGCAATCACTGAGCTTTTCTCTAAATTACTTATATTCTCGGGGTCAACCATTCTTACCTCAGCTAAATTCTTATGTTCCTGACAATCTGACTACGCGCGATCTTACTAGTTTGACCTATGTAGTTGGTCTGACTCACAGTCATTGCAAGGTATTTTGTAAATTATATTATATCAAAATAAATTTTATCCATAACGGAGTTGTCACTACTTCTCTTAATTTTACATTTATATTTTTCATCGACACTATTATCAATGCAAATGTTCTGTTAATCATTTTTTCCCTTACAACATAATGTAAAGAGGAAATTAGATGCAATATTGCACTACATGCTGTGGATTCCACACTTTATCAACTGTGTACTGTTTAGAATAAAGCCGGTATTATATTATTATTATTATTGTGCGTCGGTGGCATAGCGGTTAGGACGCTCGACGATCATGCACATGGTCCGGGATTCGATCCCTGGCCAACTCACTCCTTTACCTCGCTAAGCCAGAAATAATGCTGGTGAAGAGGAAAGGTTGGGCATGAGGCTAGCAGTAAAATAAACACTGCTACAGAAACTTCAAGCCACTAGCTTGAAGCCCTATGTTCCACTGGGGAACGTGAAGGGAAAAAAATTTTTATTATCATTAAAAAGTATATTTTTGCAAATTATTGTTTTGAATTTTCATTCGTTTTTTATTTTCTATGGCATATTTAGCACACCTCCTGATCCAGGGATTACACAGATTCTGGCTCAACTTTATGAAGCTTCGAAAAGACTACACGATGCATCGTCAAACACTAAAGATCCTGACACATTAATTGTTCAACCACTTCCTCGATCGAATTCAAATGCATATTCTAGAAGTGGTCAAAATAATCCTTTAAATGATCCACTTTTATCTAATCAATACATAGCACAGGATCAATGGCAAGGACCTAGTCAATCTAGAATGCATAATTCATATGAAACCGGTGGAAATTTTGGAATTGAGGTAGGCTTTACATGGTCTTGTAGACAAAAATTTTCATTTCATAACTAGACGTTTATTCGTGTTAGAACATGTACACATCGTATGCTTTTGCTTGACATTTGAAAATATTCAGCTGACCTGTCAAAGAGTAAGCTTAATGTGTGCTACAGTTCGTTTTGTAGGGAAATCTCTGACAAATACCTACTGAAAACAGATGAGTGAATGGGTTTTTCTTGGTTTTTAACAAATATTTCGTTTTAGCATAATCCCCTGCGTAGATGGTACACCGCCACCTCACTGTACGTAATGTCGAAGATGGGTATGAATTTTCGGATAACGAAAGCGATGACGTTGTCAATTTTTATCAAATAACTTGGTTGATTTATTGAGCTACATCCATTCTTTTGAGAGAAAAAAGCCAAATGTTAGCTTACTGGAGAAACGGGGAAATAACTTAAGTGATCTGTCGGTGATGACGTAATCAGCAATGGTGATTTGTAGGTTCGATGCTAATACTGACCACCAATTACTTCTAACCTCCATAGTCCACACAAATAAAGACACAATATAAACTTATCCATACCGGTGATCACGATTCAATTGTGCTTTACAAAGGTACATTATATGCAAATACTATATACCTCGAAAAGTTAAGATATCGAATAACCAATTATATCGGTTGCATGAGGTCAGGCTTCTGGGTTGTTCAATTGCATCCTACGCCGACCCAGTGATTCAATCCTGTTTAAGCCTATTTGAGCTAGTTTCAGCCACCTCAAACCACAGTGACAGATGCTTAAATTCAATGGTTAACTTTTTGCCAAACCTCCTTGTTGTAAATTGGCTTGTAATAACAAAGAAGTAAGGGAGGGTAATCAAATGAACAGTTGGCACCAAATAGATCAACCCTGAACAGAATACTAGAGTTAATATAGACTCAATACACATTAGTTTCTTTCGCACTATGTAATCGTGATTATGGCAGTAAAGGAAAGTATTTTTGAATGGACACTAGTGAGTAACTAGTGGAAAGTGTCGAGTCCTTTGTTTACTACAGACTGAATTTTATCAGTCAAGTTTGCAATATGGCCAATACCGATAACGGTGGGTAATGCTCACATACCTATGGGGAGTTAGTTAAAGTAAGGAGTTGCTATGAACTAATAAATCACATTTCAGTAACAAAAACTTCTAACATGTTCATCATGAAACCTGAAGGTCTTAAATACAACTCTCATGCTTGTTAGCAGTTGTACACTGCCAATTATGGAATATTAAAAAACAATGTTTAACGAAATGTTATCCTTTATGGTGGTATAATTCTCAAAAAATTGACATGTTATTATTCTTTAATTTATCCAAGCATAAAACTGTTGCAAGCTTGATAGAAGCCAGTATTCTCAATGTGTTAGACTCAACCTCACCTTATTTTACTAGTTCGTCAGTCTACTTGCTATAGCTGGTCTTAAGAACAGAAAAAGAGGGAAGGTTTGGCATGGGGCTAACGACCCTACTCAGGGAAATCAATCCACTTCATACAGTTTCTTCAAAACGCAAAAATTTGAAAAATAGGTTCATTCTTCTTTGGGTTCGGAGAGACAAAATGACGTGGAGTGGTGTGAATGCTTTCAGGAAACCAGTCAAACGATTTGTTTTCTTTCGATGGGAGCAAAAATAAGCATGTGGTGGACATGGAAACTGGTAAGGTTACTCAGATTACAAAAGAAATGAGCAAGTATAGTACGATAATGTTCGGAATATGTGAGAGCAGATGGGATGAAAGTGGGCTCTCCGAATTGTTAATTGGTGAGCCACTTGTTGACTCCGGTCACCCAAACGATAATCACAGCCACACTGAGGAAGTAGCTGTCATATAGTTGTCAACAGGATCGAAGGTTCTCATGCAGTAAGAACCAATTTTCTCCATGATAACAATAGGAAGATTCAACTTGAAAGGGTAAGATGGTTACAATTTTGCAATACCAGGCTCCTAAAAAAAGTTGCAGACACATAAGAAAGAAAATTTCTTAACCAAACTGCAAGAAGTAATGGACAAGATCCCAGTCATATGGAAACATCAAAATCCTAACGGGTGAGATGATTGCTAAACTGAGAGTAGACGACACAAGAAAGTAACTCATCATGGGTCAAGAGGCTCTCCGTGAAATGTGTGATAACGGAGAACTTGACAGATTTCTGCGCCTTCAACGAATTGGTGATTGGAGGCAGTGTACAAACACAAGGTGAGATGGATTTCACCTGAAACACTCACCAAAAATCAGATAGACTTCGTCTCTGTGTCAAGAAAGTGGAGACGCAGTCCACTGGACTTAAAATCGAGGAGATGAGCAGAAGTAGACTCAGAACACTATCGTCAGTGAAAGGAATCTTGAAGGTAAAGTTCCAAACCTTCAAAGAAACTGTAAATAGGCGACAATTTAAGTTCACCACCCAGAAACTACAAAGGGCACATTCACTGCAGCCAATCAGATCAAAGTCGGAGACATTATATAACCGAGGAAGAATACTGGAACTCTCTGATAGTGAGTGATATTGGAGGACACCTGTATAGCCATCTCAGGTAGAAAGGAGAAACAAGATAAGGAATGGCTCCCTAAGGATATATAAAAGCTAGTAGAGAAGGAAGGGGTGGTGAAACAGAAAATAAACCAGTGCATAGAGTAATAACTTACAGAGCTCTGGACGAAGAAGTGAAAAAAATTCCAGTAGATAAACAATACACTTACGTCACACTGGTGACTGAAGCAGAAAGCAAGAGGGATTTCATAACAGTATACCGGATAACCACGTCTTCAACTGTGATAAGATCAACACAGATGAAACCAATGAAAGATAGTAGATGAAACACAATTTCTAAAAAGGAGAAGTAAGGGAAACAATTAGCTGATCACTTCAAAGCATTCTCGAACCGATCGCCACCTACACCTGGTCATTGAGCACTGATCCTCTGCCAGAAGCAGAAACCTTCAAGGTAATAAAATTACTAGAAGTTAAGAAAGCTAATGCAGGAGGGCTGAAACGAAGAAATTCTACCTATCGATTGGAAGAAGGGTGATTTAAGCTTTTGCAAGAATTGTCGTGGAATCATGCTTCTGTTCACTTGACATAAAATGATAAGTCGCATCATCGTGGAGGAAGTAAAAGATACTCTGGATGCAAGACTACACGCTGTACCAAGCTGGATTCGGGAAGAGCAAATCATGTGTGGATCAATTCGTAACACTATGCAACATCTTCTGACGTAGAATAGAATGACAATCAAATATCTACCTCATCCCTTGCGATTTTGTAAAGACCTTCGAGAACGTTGATCATAAAGTAATATGGAAAGTGCTTCAACACACTACAGAGCGTAGTGCCGCAAACCTTTATCAACCTCATTCAACAGCTCTATCATGATGTCACAGGTCAAATGATTCACAACAGAAAACTTAATTCCCATTAGTTGTGCAAAGTTAGCGGTAAGGTCGAGTGGGGTGGCTGCCATAGTTGTTTAACTCCGCCAGTAGTAGTTTATCCAATCTGCACCACAATCCGGAAGATAGGAGAATAAACGGAAAAACATGAGATACCTTCATTCATTCCCTGCTGTTAATACTATCATCATAAGGTCGGGAGTAGATATTAAATAATAATTTAAAAAACTGAGTACTGTAAATCACTAGTACACACCTAAATAAATAAATATTATTAGAAATAAGTTTAACAAGAAAAGTGTAGCAAAAAATATTAATCAGAATAATTGTAGATTGTTTTGGAAACTAAATCAGCTGAAATTTTTGTCATAAAGCTTTGAAGTTCTCTTTTACTCTGAGTATGAAACAGAAATGTAGCATTTAGACCGGTAAAAACAACAGCAGCAACATCCAGCGCCAATCACCATCAACGTGGGGGATTTGAAAGAGGTTACTTCATTCACTTATCTAGGGAGCATTGTCTCAACTACAGGCAGTCGGAACGGACGAGGATGTCAAATCGAGCGAGAGTTGGGAAGGTGAGAAACACATTCATCGACCTGGAACCAATCTGGAAATCTTCGTCACTCAGCAACAAAATTCGGATTTTCAATACAAACGTCAAATCAGTCAGTTCTTCTATACGGATCAGAAACTTGGAGGGTCACAAATAATATCTCCAACAGGCTATTGCAGACCTTTATTAACAACTGTCTTCGCTCTATACTGAAGATCAGATGGCCGGGCCGGAAAGAATCACCAACAAGGAACTATGGGAACAAACAAAACAAGAACCAATCGACCAACAAATATGCAGGAGAAAGTGGATTGAGATGGATTGGACACTCGCTGAGGAGACCGCTGGGTGACGTTGCGCGCGCGTCAGGTCATTGCTCGAGCGGAATCCGAAAGGGAAGCGGCGAGTGGGACGTCAGTGCGAGGATGACATGGAGGAGATCGTGTGAAGAGGAGTTGAAAGAGTATAAACTAACATGGATGCAGGTGAAAAGTACGATAGAAGACAGAATCAAGTGCAGACGTGCAGTTAAAGGCCTATGTTCCTCCAGGAACCCAAGGGAACAATAATAATATAATAATAATAGGCCGATAAAGCAAGGAAAATCAAATTTACCGTATAAAATAATGTCATTTTATGCGATAAATAGGTACTTTCTCTATTCATTGAAATTTTTTCGAGGAAACTATATGTGTATATACCATTTCAATTCAAAAGTAATTGAAAAATAAATTTTGAAAGTTTACAAACAAGTTTGACTTAAACAGTTGTGTATAAAAGCACAAGTTGATGGTTTGTAAGACTTTTCTCTATCTTGTAATTCTACTGTTTATGTTGCTAAAATATCATCCGTATTTTAAAGTGACTAACATAGATAGTTAGTTTAGAAAAGAGTTAGCTGTAGTCTTAAAAAACATCGCACCAGCCTAATGAAGTCTTTAACAGTTGGTTTATTCCACGTAGGGATGTGTAGACTGCCCATTCGGGAATCGGAAGGTACTAAGAACTGGTGTCTGGAGGCTATCAGTGATAAAGCTCAATGGCACAGATGCATTCACTTTTTGCAATCTCCTATATCCATTAAACCTTCATGTTTTTCCAAAAAACTGTTCTTTCGCACATTTCTACTCATTATGCTTCGTTTGAATTCCCTTTTTCTTTCTTTTCTCTACTGTTGTGTGCTATATGGAGTGAGACGACTTGAACTGCTGCACTCCTGTGCAGTGTTGTATCTTGAAACTCGATAAGTCAGACATCCGTAAAGCGACAGTACTTATGTGATGAGCGAAAACATACCAGTGAAAAATGAAGACTTAATGGATCTAGAAGTGTGGAATGCACTACTGATAGGACTTGTCAGTAGTATATAAAGAAACGTTCATCGGCATAAAAAACATCAAGTAGCAGAGAGACAGATTTGACGTCAAAAAGAGCAAATGAACAAGTGCTGCGGTTAAACATGGAAAATACGAAAAGAAGACAAAGAAACACAGTACGAAGGGCACGAAAGATCTATGCAAATGACGATTTTAAGATAAGGTGTACATAATGTCGCTATATAGCGACATTGTTTGTCTTCTGCTGTTACAATATCATCAACAGTTTCAAGACATTGATTCTTAGCATGCTGATATTCCCAACCAGGCATTCTACACCTTTCTACACGGTTCAAACCAACTGTCAAAGACTTCATGGATTGATATCAGGTTTTGTTTTAACCTAATGACTGACTGGTTTCAACGTAGAACTTTGCACCGGTGTGCAGAAGCTAGAGTTGCCACACTGCCTCATTGTAGCACACAAAGCAATAGAAGAAGGTAAAAAGAAATGAAAAAGAGACGGTAAATAGAGATATGAATCGAACAGAATAGTAATAACAAAGAAAAATATAGTTTCATTGGAAATTATAAGTCAAAAGGAGTGGATGCATCTGCGCCACTGAGAACGATTTTGACCTGTATCACCAATTATTTCCAGCCCCCATTGGTTTTTACTGTCGCGAGGACCTCAACCAGGAAGTCTACACCTTCCTACGTGACTGGCTTAAACTAACTGCTGTGGATTTCATTGACTGATGAAGCCATGTTTTCGTTTGACCACCACTAGGTCTTTTCCAATCTGATCCTATGTCAGCAAACATTGCCCGTCGACGAAGGCGATGACTAGGCATGCGTAACACATATCCTAACCATCTCAGTCGATGTAACTTCATAGCATCGTCGATTAATTTCCCCTCCTTACCTAGCATTCGACCGAAGCCTAACCTCAATATTGCTCACCCTGTTATGCCACTTTACACGCGAGATAGAATGCTGGCACACCTATGATCAAAAAAAGCTAACCTTTTCGTGTCTTCCACTCTCGGTGGCCAGGTCTCACAGCCACAGAGGAGCACTGAGAGGACTACTGAGCAGTACACACGTCCTTTGGTCGACAGGCATTCGGATATCACGTCTACACCAAAGATGGCGTAAATTGGCATATGCGAAACTAGCCTTCTGTGTTCATGCTAGGATGTCGTCAGCAGTCAGCCCACTAGCAATGGCTGATGCAACTCCCCAAATAACAAATGAAGTGGTCAACGCTCTCTACCACTTCACTCCCTATTCCTAAGCTAGGAGTCAATTTAGTCCAGTCCTGTAACATCATCTTACATTTGACAACAGCGGACCGCATGCCAGACATTCGAAGATTGCAGCTCAAGGTGTTCAGAAGACTCTGCATTATGTCAGCGTCCTCACCTAGAAGAACTATATCATCTAGAAATTCTAAGTCAACGAGATTATCCCCTGGTAACAAGTCAATCCCTGAGTCTCTGAAGAGTTAGGGTTGACTCCCGGGTTGGGGGCCTCGGGACTCTAGGAATCAATGGCTGGAGACAATAGGTGACATGGCTCAAAATCGTTGTCAATGGCGCAGATGTATTCAGTCTCTGTAATCTTTCATATTCCTTTCTACCATTACCCATTCTGTTTCACTCGTATACTTGTCAAACTCTATGATTCTCTTCACTCATCTTCTTGTCTACTTTGTGTGCTATTTGGAAGGTGGCAACTCGAACTGCTGCACTTCGGTGCCAAGTTCTATGTTGAATCCAGACAGACAGACAGTGAGTTAGGGTTAATTTTATCAGTACATCTATGATGAAATTAAATAGAAATGGGGATAGTGGACATCCCTGACGGACACCACTGGTTGTTACCACTTCAGATGACAACTATCCCTCCGTAGGCTCTTACCTGGCTGCATGGGTTCGAGTAGAGTGCCTTGATGAGTTTGATGTATTTTCTCGACATTCCCTTCACAGCCTAACATCGCCATAGAACCTTCCGGTCGACGGAATCGAATTCCGCCTTTAGGTAAAGAAATATGTCGGCTGTTGGACACTGGTAAACATACCTATGTTCCAGAATCTGTCGAAGGGCGAAGATATGATCAGTACACCATCCTCCTGGTTCTCTCGTGTTTGTGCCTCCTGACATTGCCCTCAAGGAAGGTGATAGCTCGGCATACTTGGCACATGTCCTAACCTGGATTATGTTGGTTTGTTTCTCGAATAACATTTCTGGCAAATAAATGTCTCGTGAATTCCGTTATTTTTAATTTGGTCTTCAAATGAACCATTTGTTGGAATTTAGTCTTTTACCTACTTAATAAAATTGTATCGACGATCTGTAAGTGCTTCCTTTTCGCTGATTAGTTCTCAAGTGAAGTTTGCGCAGGTCACTGTTCACATTTCTATTTATATATCCTATATTTACTTTATTTTACAGAGTGGAAGTGGTAATCAACCCAACACTTTACAGTATCCAGGAGAACCACTGACTCAAACTTTTGACCAATCATCTAATCAGTTTAATAATATGTTTCCAGGAGATCCGCATAGTAATAATGATCCTCGTTTGTACAATTCGGCTTTGGATCGTGATAACAAGAAGACTAATGTCGATCCTAACCGATATTCTAATCAAAAACCTACACAACAATGGCCTGAAAAACCATCCACAGCATATAGTAATAGTAATAATTGGGGTAATACTGGAAATGGAAGAAATAATTGGGAGTCAAGTGGATCAACAGATCTAAATATACCCGTCTTTCAGGAAATGACAACTCAAAGTGAAATTATTACTACCTCAGTAACTGTGCCGCAGACGACAACTGTATCAACAACCCTATCGGTTGTCACTCCTACCACTGTTTCACAATCTACATCTACACGACCGGCTTCAACATTAACTCCTGCACATGAAGCAAGAGGCATATCGACTACTGAAACGAACAATTTTGTTACTGAAACTGTAACAGTACATACACCAACTGTTGTATCTACTACTTCTGCGTTAGATAAGCGTCCTTCCAGTATAGTACATAACACAGAAGCAACCCTAAAATCTAGTACTTTCACAGATTCATTGTTATCATCTACTGATCGATCGAATAAATTCGGTTACTTACCAGATGATGAAGATAACACACAAGTAGGCTACCAGACTCCTAACCCACAGAATACCAACTCTTGGCATCAGCCTGACAGAATTCCACAAACACCTTTCCAAGAGGTAAGTAGAATTTAGATTGTACAACTAACAACACGAACTATGGATATTTTTCATGATAATTTTTTTAAGCTATTATGATATATTAAAGATTAGGACACTAAAAATACTATTGGTGCTTATTGCATTGACGTCTAGTTTATCATTTCAAGTATTGATCCCTCGCCTAAAACACCTGGGCGCTTCAATTACTGTGTCACAGCTTTAATGTACTAGAGATGTTTTTTAATATTATAGTCAATAAGCTACTGATTTAATGTATTGATCTAATTGGCTAAGAAAAAGATGGTTATTCTGTAACAAATTCTACAACTAATGTAAATACTTTACTAACATTTACAGGGTTCTGGAGAACAAGGCAGTGGTGATACATCAGTCTATGTACCGCAGTATCAAGGAACAAAACCACTATGGCCATCATCTGATAGACAATCTGTTAACCAAAATGCTGCAGGATTTGGCTACAATGAAGATACTGATTATCTGAGCCCTCAGCCAGATAAGAACTTAGCTTTTTATCAAAGTACACACAAACCTGTAGAAAATCAACGAAATTCTGGATCCTGGAATGTCCCTCCCGATAAATTAGCCTCAGGATTTGTGGAGCAAGCTAGCGGAGTGAATCCAAACGCAGAATGGAATGAAGATAAAAATGTCCTACGCAGTAAGTACTAGTTGAAAACGGTGTTGATTTAGTGAGGTGAACTCAACACCAGTTTTAAACTATGACTTTATGCCTTAAATAACCTTGACAGAAGACTAATATTCTTTTCTTTTTTCAGCCGGTTCGTCACAATGGCAAGATACACTGGAAGGTAGTGGAAGGAACAACCAAGAATTAGTACAAAATCCGATATCAGAGGATTTGTCCCGGTTACAACCACCAATCCAAACGACAGTGCCACCTATACCTTCACGTGTTGAAAATGTCCCTGGAATCCTTCCGCATCCACCCCTTCCACCTCCTGAAGTATGGGTCCCAGCAAAACTAAGTCCCGGTCAACCTGCGTCACCTATATTGCTAATACGTGAATATAGTGTCGAAGGACCACTCTACGGAAAAGAAGATATTACCTCACATCCTTATAATTCAGCATCTATTCAGTCACTGTTGTTCACGTCAATACTTTTACCTCTAATTACCTTGTTTCTCTTCTAAAACGATAACTTTACAGCTGCAGTTTTTTAATGTACATAGGCGCATTTAATAGCCTTTGCTCAAAATGTATTTAAACGTATCTTGTTAACATTTAAAAGTGCTTTAATCCTTTTCATACTCATTTGCACAACAGTAACTTAATCTTTGCATTTACTTCAGGTATTCTCATCGGTTTGACAATAAAAGCCTCATAATTGTGGTTGTTTCGGATGTATAAGATAGAAAAATGTCATAAAATAAAAAAAGTTTATTTGTTCTTTATATATATATATATATATATATATATATATATATATATATGAGAAAAGGAAAAAGTCATCAACTCAGTATAATGTGACTAGATACTAATGTTTGTAAGAGAGTCTCTTGATGCTACTGCAGAAGCTTCATCTAAAGGAACCCATGGCTTACTTGAATCTGCAGTACATTGAAACTTTAGAGGGCCATTTTTGAACCAAGTTAGGGAATTATGGCAGAAGAACATCAAACGATTTATAGCGGCTTGGCCTTCAAAAAATGTCGGAGGTTCTTGATCAGGAGTTGTAGATCTAGCTCGCATTTGTTCAGTCGACATATTCAGACTCACAGAACTTGGACGAACGTATGCGAAAGGATTTACAAACAAAATACAATTTTCAGGATCGAAAACGTTTGTTATTTCCCCTGAATACGGAGAATATAAACGTGAAAGTCTCAAAGCGGGAACAGGTCCACGAGCTTTCCAACCTATGCAAGCAGGATTTAGTCTATCTGGTATAATGTCGTAAAGAACACCCATTATAGCAGGGTATGTGTTTTGTGTAGCAGTTTTTATGTTGTTTTCTGCAATACAGCATACTCCAAGTTCATAGGTGCGGTCATTGCAAACAAGTGACAAAAGTATCTCGTGTAGTATCGACCGGTACAGGTTTTGTGGATCTGGAAATCCTCCAATTATGTGGACTTTAGCGGTAGTAACATTATCATTGGAAAAGAAAAACTGTTCAGTATTCTTGAAGAATGACTTCACGCGCATTGCTGTGTCTAAATGTCCTATGCAGCATCTATTAGCACTGCGCAGGATAACAATGTAACAGGATGTTGCATCGTCAGAAGATACATAACTAGGAATATTATCACCCGTACTAGAGCTTTTGGTTGCATTTAGCGATATGATAGCCATCTCTCCTTGGTGCACATAGACCGAAGAAGAGCCATCTTGAAGATTGATTGAATGTTTCCTTCTGAATTCTTCTGCAATACACTTAATGTGTGGGTTTGACAAGAACCATTCAGAAAACATCAACAATGACGACTTTTCACAATGATACTTCTGTCCGGCGAAAATAAGCACCATCTAGAATCCCACCTAACCTAAAAACTAACGTTGAACACATCATAAATAGCAAATTTATCAGCTTACAGTTTGAAAAAATGAAAGTTGGCAGTAGCTTCGTTTTATTTTAACAATGTACAAATTAGTCAAGTATACAAAATGATATGGTAGTATTTTCGAGATATAAACGCTGAACTATAATCTTAGTCTAGTATCACAACTGTAACAATATTTAAGGATTTACAATAATAAACTGAGTGATATCTTTGGATATTTACATCTGAAAGCAAGGAAGTAAGACTTTTTGTACAAAAGTGGCCAAGTATTATCTTACACGAATGAGACAATTAAGACCAACCATTTACCTGGAAATGGTTTATTTTACCAGATACTTGGTTCGATTTCCGCAAAATCATACCATTCTTTGAATTCGTATTTTTCAACATCCATGTTCGCCAATCATTCAGCAGTAAGTACAAGCATGATTTTCTAAACCTTAAAGCTTCAGACATCAACATTGAAACCACAGCATCTCTTTGTCCAGTGGGACCTGTAAGTTCATTCATTCGATCGAATAGTACAACTGTGTCTATAAAGAAAAATAATTTGACGTTAGCGATTGTATAGGCAAATAAGGTGAAAAACTATTTGCAAATATACTTACTGGCACAAGGTTGCCTGACAATATTAATTAATTCACGCATGATCTCTTTGTTAAATTTGAACATTTCCAACGAAGAACTTGTCTTTGCTTTTAAACTCGGAGTTTCACACATAGTTTGATTATTAGAACTTGGTGAAACTTGAGAAACTGGTGGGGAATCGTTGATATATACAGGAGGTGAAACGTCATTTAATATTACATCGGAAATTTCTCCAGATCTGGGTGATGACGCTGGGGATGATTTGGGTGAGTAAAGTCGCCAGTTACGATGATTTATGTAATGGGGTAAAGGACCTAAGAAAATGTATTTAAACAAATTTTTCTTACCTTTGACTCTCATTTGAGGACTTTTTATAACTTGTGAACACTTTTTGCGTCCAGGGCTAACCAAGGAAGCGTTTGGGTTACAAGAATTTACATTAAGTGAGTCCATTTCGTCAACGAAACCTCCATCAGCGATGAAAGATGAAGACTTTCGACGGAATGGATTTCCAAATGTATCCGAGCGTTCAGGAGTAGGATTAATCTCTCTAAGTGGAGCTTCTGTTTCTCTGGAACTTCTGTAATTTACATAATCACCCATTAAGGCTACTGGTTGTTGATGGGTTAAGTCGTCAGATCGGCAGTTCACTCTCCCGCGCAAAAGATTATCAAGATCTTGTCTCATTTTTCCCAAAACTATTCGAAGCTTGCATCTTGATATGTTACAAGGGCGAAGACAAGCATTCAAAGGAAGCCGTCGAGGCTTGTTATACATTGATTTAAATTCTCGTAAAGGCCACAGCGGCAACGGCAACAAAGTGGAAGGGAGCTAAAAAAATCTAATCATAACTATGGAATACTTACAGTTACTGAGGAGTTTATAGCACAGTCACTTTGTGTCATACGTACAAAATTGTCATATTCGATCTTCGCTGTATGACGTAGTTTTTGTAAGGAATGTTTTAACTGATAAGGAAGTGCACGGTCGATTGCTTCTGGTTTGATCATACCTGTAAAACCTATTCTTTCAAATGACTTTGACAATGGCTTTAAAAATTAAAAGACTATGACAAAATTTACCATAAAATAATATTTCGGGATGCTGCCAAGATAATTTATAAACTGATGTCCCCAGGTATCTGTCATCCGCTTATTATCCCAAATATCACCTAGAAAAAGTTCAAACATATATAACGCAACCTACCAAGTAACTGCAAGAAAACAGGATAGTTAAAAGGGAGGACATGTAAATGTACCGACTGCATGTCGCTGGATGGTTTTAAGTAGCCAAAAGGAGAATTTTGATTTTTCTTGATGTCGCAGCTGAAACAACGCCACACCATGTTTTGTTCCGATGAGTTTAGTAACTCTCTTGTAAGCTGAGATGGTGAGAGTTCATACCGATCTATAGGAAAAAACTCAGGTAATACAGGTTCTGCGACAGCAACTTTCGATACGAGAATTTCAGGATGAGCGGTCCTTGTTGGCTTTAATGGAAATATAATATAAGGCTTTGCTTACCAGTTGGGATGCAACCATTTCTTCTTCAGCCCAGAATGGTTCTGGAATTGGCCAGGATGATACCCGTCCCATTAGTTTTACTATCATTAACTGCTTCGTATACCTCTCCTTATAATCGTCAACATCCTCATTTGACTTCTGTATTTTTAATACTACAGCCGGCTGGCACTTTGTGACCAGTGACTCTAGACATTGGTGGAGTTCTCGACCGTCGTATAAATCAAAGTTTTCACCACCAGTTTCTTCGGCAAACCTTTTCAGTGGTGATTCTATCTGCGGTCTTGGAAAATTACCACCACACATATTACTGACAAAGGCCGGGTAACGCAACACAACTGAGTAAAGTCGATAATCCCAACGATAAGGATCTTTAGTCAAAACAGTGCCAAGAACAGCAGATTCTACTGAAGCCATAGAAGCATCCTATTTGTTATATAATAAAAAGCATCAAGTGACTTACATTAATTACATTTTCATTCAAAGTACATGCACTAATGCTACCAGTAATACAAATTACTACAGCAGGTTCAATACACGATGGGTATATCCCCTTAAAAAACATTAAATGAAAATTTATGAATACCATTCCATAATTCTCCAATCCCAGCTGTAATCTATTGATATTAAGCATACGAAATGTCCGTTGTATTCCTGTTGATAAATCAATTTGTCCATCAGGTTTAATGTTATTTAAAGCAGAATGTAGTAAGTGTATGTCAACGTTTTGTTTCCAACCAGTAAGCTGTGATGTGTACGCAAATGAAATATTAATTCCAACATACTTTGATATAATTTGGCTCAGAATTTAACGTGAGGACAAAATAACGATCTACCCTAGATTTACTCATTCTAATCTATCAACAGCAACAATTAGATAAGCATAGTTAACAAACTTTGAAGAAAACTTCTGTAGCAGATTTAGCTACATCCAGTAACGTTGTACCTTGAAATGTGCGCTGATTCATAGCTGCGCTGTTGTCAAGCAGAAAAACAATTATTGTCATTGCTAAATTCTCAAGGTCATCCAATACGCAACAACCAATCAGCCACGCCAGTCTAACTTGCATACAACCGTACTTGTCGCTCTTACTGACCTGTAAGGCTGGAGAAGCATTATATATTGTTTTTAATCCACGTAGGAGTAATGTGATTGGTCGAAATATTTGATGGAGGCTCATAGTGAGACGCTTCAATTATTAATCGAATTATTATTGTTATACATGAATTGTTTGTAAATTAATGGTATTTTAATTAAAAAAATTAAACAATCATGAAATGTCACTGCAAACGTCACGTCTAACGATGTATTTGAATGCATATATTCAGTATTTACCATTTGCTCAAGATGAGCCTCCAGTAAGTGAATAAAGCACGGTAATTCTTGAGGGTTTCTGTTGCTCACAAAATAGTTCCTATTAGTTACAAAGAAATATTTAGCTTGACTTTTTCATAGATTTGACTGAAGACTGACTCTCTGTTACTTTCAACGTCTGTCGGGAAAATTTTAACTAATAAAAGTAGACTGGCTGATGCTATAAAAAGTTGTATAATACCTAATTTAATAATGTTTTCGTCACCCTTCTATGAAAACCCACTTCATTTTTTAATTCTGTCTATCTTCAGTAAATTTATCAGTGTTCACTCGTTTTTATAGGTTTTTCAATCTCTTTAGATAAGGTATTAATAATGTTAACCTACCAAAAAATATATATAATCGCTTCGAAATTTTTGAATTCCCTCTTCTCTAACGTATGCAAATCAACTAAGATTCTGCATTATATATTTTTACTTTGTGGTCATTTGACCCCTATTGCATTTCATTTCTGATTCTCTTAAGAATTCCAAAGTAGTCGCTAACTATTCGGAATTTTGTTACCCTAATGCCAATATAGTAAAATATTTAATTCTATCTCAGAAATTATACTACGTGCTATCAGTAAGTAGTATGGTTTTATCTGTTAAATAGCGCTCTGTATATACGCCAAAGCAGTATCTTTGAGAAAGGTAAATCGAAATACAGCTTTTTCGGGTATCATTAGCGGAATTGTCAACCAGCTCGCTCGCCTTGCATCCAGAAGGTCCTTGATTTGTATCCTAGAGGTGGGTGCGTGCTGGCGGAGAGCTCCTAACTTGAACGAAACAGCTATCCAGTGCTGTATCATTTTCAGTGGTTCCCTAACTGACGTCAATCCCTGATCAAACTCCAAGCAAATCAAATCCCTACAGAAAAACTGTTGAGAAGTACTCATATTCTTCAGTAGTTTATGATGTCATTTTATTTTGCTCACTACAATTTTTGTTTATTTTTAGTATCAAATGAATCACACGTTGTAATTTTTTAATATTTTTGATTGACAAAGGAAACGGTGGTGAATTCCAACTCCTCCAGAGTTCGGTAATGTATAAATGACAAAAACATTTGATTGATTATTCGAATTGAAATAAGAATAAATCATACGAGCAGTGAGTGAGGTAAGTGAAATTCTTATTTTTATCAGTCTGCTTAACTATGTAACCCCAAATAGCATAAATTTATTCAAGGATAACATCCAAGCTATTAATGTTGTTTCATTATGTGTAATGACAAATAAACTTAACTAATATGCATGTATAAAAGACTATGGATGATACTTACTTCTTTATCATACGATTTTTCTTTATATTTTGTGTAATAGAAGCCTATTTTATTTTAAAAGTGTTGCTAAAACTAAAACGGAAATGAGTCTAACCTCTACACTAGCTATTGCATTTAAACCTTTGTAAATTACCCAGCTTAGTGTGTAACTGTTAGCTAGGGTTCCTTTGTTTTTATAATTGTTCTAGACGTATTTAGCTGGTAGAAAAAAATGTATTTTCTAGAAGTATAATACTTATAACTATACATTCATTAGTTCATTTGTAAGCATCATTAAAAAACCCGCTGGTTATTATATATGAAAATTCAAATTATATTTTGATTGATCTACTGTGTAGGTCGAGATTTTCACATTTGTATAGTTTGTTGTTTGTTCAAAGTATATCTTCTGCCACGAATATAATTTTCTTTTTCTATTGTCTATGGTGTTTTAATACCAGTGTGGTAATTTAATCGCTTTATTTTTTATTAGTATAAGCTCAAAAAGAAGTGATCATGGGAACAAATGAATGTTATCTGTAAGTCCTATTTCCATTGGGTATGAATAATACCAGTAATAATTTGCATTATTTCAGAACAGTACTTATGATACAGTGTGGAATTTTCAGCATTTTGGCGCAATACTGAATCTGATTTACACGCCAACAACAACAACAAGAAACACTAGTGTATTCTTTTTGATTTTATTTTTTGATTACAGCTTGATTCCACACTGTATTTTTGGTACGAGTATGGAGTTTTCAGCATGGATATCGGTAGCCCAAATTTCCCAAGCCCACCGTAGATATCAGGTGTAGCGTTGGTAGGGGATCGAACTCCGGACCATGTTCACGATCGGCAAGAGTCCTAACCACTGTGCCACCGACTTAGGTAACCAGAATTGATAGTAGCAGCTCTTTGACAGTATTGATTATATTATTTTATTGCTTTGCGTTCCCAGTGGAACGTACGACTTTAAGCCAAAGGCTTGAAGTTTCGACAGTAGTGGTGTTTATTTTTATGTGATGGGATTGCTGGCCTCATGCCCTACCTTCTCTCCTTACCAGTCTTATTACTGGTTTAGCGAGGTAAAGGGGTGCAGTGGCCGAGGATCGAACCACGATCCACCTGCGTGGTTGACCAGCATTCTACCGCTGTGCCACCGACGCGCTGTTCGACACTGGCAGTGATATTTAAGTTAAATAATCATGACAATAATAATAGTGTTAATAACTAAAATTATAAAATGATTCAATTAGTGTCAACATAAATTACAAATAGGTGAGGGCTAACTGTTTAGCTAATTACACAGTAAGTTATACCACATAGAACATGGGCTAGCCAAATACAGTCTCCTTGATCTTTTGCACTTGGTTATGTGATCGAGCACATAATCTCTACCTACCTGATGAGTTCAAGAGAAGGGGGTATTGTTGAGAATAGAGAGGGTGTTGACAGTCAGACAATATGGATTTAGACCATTCCACACATGGGTTCAGGTATCTGTCGACTACATTCGTAACAAGCTCACTTAGTGGGACACTACTTGCTATACAGACAATCTTTAACACCTTCCACGATATGACATAGTCGTTTTTGAGTAGTCCAGGAAAAACTAAGGGGGGAGCAATAAACAACAATAGGTAAGATGCAAGAGTTAACAAATTGTAAAAAAATATCGATTGAGTGATTCTTGATTGTCTTAACTTCTTTATGTAGCAGGTTAGAAAGAACAATTTTCTTAGAAATCGATAAGATATGAGATGACTCAGTTAATATCCGCGTATAAACAGTCGTTTCTGCGTCACAGTGACGTATTCATGTAAATTAGAGGTTGTTTAGTATACAATTGATGGATGGTGGCTAGCAGTGGAATCCAGGATGCGCATTTCATCCTATTTGGGACTCGTCATCTGGATGTACCTGCATTTCTCAGTGAGTGATGATGTTACCACTGAGGCTCGAACCCAGTCCCCATAATTTCAAACGCCAAAGCGTTATCCACAAGACCACTTGAGCCACGAGAGCCACAAGAAGTTGATATGTCAACCGGAGATCGAGCACTTCGGTCCAATCAATCGACGGGAAAATCAAAAATTCAATTAAATAGAGGTTGTTTATTTTAAAAAACAAAAATTAATTACTCTATTATTATAGAAAGTATAAAACTATGATTAAATCAAGTTGAATAACAACTATTACCGACTGGATAAAACTTTGAGTACTCATTTTTGCCTTAACTTGAAACAAATCATAATTTTCAAGTATTGGTTTTTGTAGGGATTTTGTTTGATTGCATGGAGGATTTAATCATGAGCTGACATCAGTTAGAGAACCACTAGAAAACCTGGGAGTACTGGACAGCCGTTTCGTCCTAGTTTGGGACTCCTCAGCAGTACGCACCCACCGGGATTCGAACCCAGGACCTTCTGGTTACAAGGCGAGCTCGTAGACCATTGAGCCACTGGGACCCGATCCAATGGTCCTTGAATTCTAACTTCTGCCAGTTCACGACATAGCGCGACCACTTCGCAATGTCTTCTTCGATGAGTTACTGCCTCATCTTCGACCTGCTGTACCCTACTGGATCGGGTCCCAGTGGCTCAATGGTCTACGAGCTCGCCTTGTAACCAGAAGGTCCTGGGTTCGAATCCCGGTGGGTGCGTACTGCTGAGGAGTCCCAAACTAGGACGAAACGGCTGTCCAGTACTCCCAGGTTTTCTAGTGGTTCTCTAACTGATGTCAGCTCATGATTAAATCCTCCATGCAATCAAACAAAATCCCTACAAAAACCAATACTTGAAAATTCATCTGATGCTCACTAGTGACTGGCCCTATTCAGGCAGTTAACCTGGGGTTCTAGTGGGAAGCCGTGACCAGTAGGGTACAGCAGGTCGAAGATGAGGCAGTAACTCATCGAAGAAGACATTGCGAAGTGGTCGCGCTATGTCGTGAACTGGCAGAAGTTAGAATTCAAGGACCATTGGATCGGGTCCCAGTGGCTCAATGGTCTACGAGCTCGCCTTGTAACCGGAAGGTCCTGGGTTCGAATCCCGGTGGGTGCGTACTGCTGAGGAGTCCCAAACTAGGACGAAACGGCTGTCCAGTACTCCCAAGTTTTCTAGTGGTTCTCTAACTGATGTCAGCTCATGATTAAATCCTCCATGAAATCATAATTTATCCACAACTTCACACTATTTTATATTAGCATTTATTTGACCTTATTTCTCAGATAATCATCTATGCACATAGATCATTTTAATTGACCTTTTAATGCCTTAACAGGTCAATTGAAACTTTAATTATACTTTTATGTGTTGGAAACCGAAATATTGACTAGTCGATAACATTCAAGGATATGACTATTTAGACATGACCTTGGTATTTGAAATTTATTCTGCACAGTGTCTTCTCTTCCATTTAAGAAGGATTTATGTGTTCTAAAAATTTATTTGGGAATGTAATAGAAGTTTCAACTATCAGCTTATTGGCCCTAATTTTGCCGGACAAGTTTAAAGCGTAGGGCCAAAGCAGGATATTTAGTGCATTGCGATTGGATAACCT